ACAGACCCGTTCATTGATATGGCACCTTATAATCCGGTGTGCCTTATAGTCCGAAAAATACGGTAATCATGATTGTTTGTTTTATTTAAACTAAACCCATGTGGCAAATAACATCTTCATCATCCTGTTTTGGTAAAACACATCCCCTTAGTTATAATTATTTGGCCTGTCACAATAACACATTTCACTGGCCAATTAATTGTCTTTGCTAACACCTTAAATCCTTAAATTTTCACCTCAAAATGGCAAAAAGCAAAAACATATCTCTAAAAAACATTTTGCACAGCACCGTAGCTTTGTCTGTCCAATCACATGCAACATATTCTCATTTGTAAGTAACAAGCTTGTGAAAAATTATGTACAAGTTGGAAAAAAAAAAAAGTACTACCTTGTTTTCTGAAATTTATGGAAAGAATTTTCTGCGAACAAATCATTATTAGAACATTCAATCAAAGAAACCTTCCCAAAACTTGTTGGACATCTTTTGAACACCTAATGTGTCTTATCTAGAAACAACTCAACTTTAGGAAACTCAGTGGATAACTGGAGCAACAGTAATAGAAGAACATACATCTTACATCAAAACCTAAAACACTAAAATGTGAAAGCTGCACTCGAGTGTTTGTTTTGAAAGGGGGTTTTAGCCTCTCCTACCTTTTGTTCCTCCTTTTCTCTGGCGATGTGGCACTTTTCGATCTTCCAGTGTCGGAGGAAGTCACGGAGGTAGCCAAAGATGGTGAGGATGCCGTAACCCATGTAGGTGAGAACGGCCACCAGCATGGGCGTCTCCTCAAACGATTCGATGAACGGTCGGTTATACAGGCTGCCATGATGAAACGTTGCATGGACCTGCACAAAACAAAATAAAGCTAAATCCTTTGAAGACAATCAAGAGACCGTATTCTGTACTTAATCCCATAAGACACTTATTTTAGCAACTGTGATGATCAGATCACTGTTTCTATTCCTCATTGTATCCAAAGAAATATTCAGTTTTATTAATCCTTGTAAAGTTGTTACATGACTAAAACATTTATGTTAACATTTTGTTGTTTATCATCCCTAATATTGATATTTATAGCTCTTTCCATTACAATAATCAGAGAACCATTACCTCTTTCCACATGAGAGCAATGATATTAAGCTGTCTTAATCTTGTTTTAATTAAAAGAGTCATGATTTCACTGCAAGGAGCCCATCTGAACGCACATTAAAATACGTTCATGAAAAGGTATTATTGTGTTTACATTAGATTTTATTTTAACTGAGTGTATAGTTTTGAGTTTTGTTTTTTTGACAAACAAAGGAAAACATCCTGACTCGTATACAAAGACAGCCCAGGGATATTTCTTACATTTACATAACGTTTAAGTTTGTTTGAACACTTGCATTAAAAAAGTTGAGAATTAGTGATTTATGTCTATACACTATTCAAATAAATACATTTTGGTGTGATTTACTTAAACTGCATGTGTGAGCAACACAAGACTACACACAGTAGATCCACCTCCAGTTCCAGTCTGCACCAGTAATACAGGAAAACCCAGAGAGGTTAGATTTGACTTCCAAATAAAGAACTAACAGGTTGTGCGGACGGGAATCTAAACACACTCAAGAGCCTCCACGAGCCAAAGCAGACTGAAAGGCAAACTCATTCCTCTGCAGGCGTTTTCATTGCACTCCTCGGCTCTACATGTGACCAGTCATGCCTTTTTGACATACTTTAACAAACACCAAGCCCGTCATGTGAATAAACTCAAAATCAGCTGAGGTTTAGTCACCAGGAGTTCAGTTTCAAACCAATAAACAAAGCCAGGGTGGCAAAATATTAAATAAAAAAATAAACAACCGGAGTTTTTATCCTGACACATGCTCAATAATCCAAGGAGATGAATCTAACAAGGTTAAGTCAGGTACCCTGGACGGATCCTTCTTTGTTGAAACATTTCGTCTTTTATCCAAAAGACTTCTTCAGTTTGCGGAGCTGCAACAAACTCAGTCTTATTAGCAGCATCTTCTCATAGTGGATCTACCAGTTTGCTGCTGACAGCCACAACTAGTTGTTCACATGCAAAAGGAGGACCATCAGCCTAACAATTGACCATTAGTGCTCTGCTTGCTATTCACAGAGGGCTGAGTGATGCAATAACAGCATTATAAGATGGTGACAGATGAACATGGGAGCCTCCGCCCGTTTCCAAAGGTCTCCTAACTTGTGCTCCAGAGGGTGATGGGAGTCAAACCTCAAGTACTGGTCTGTGTGACTCCCATCACCCTCTGGAGCACAAGTTAAGGCTCCCACAGACTCGGGCGTATGTTGAGCTGCGCTGACACTGTGCGCTCTGTCCGTAGACTGTTGAGACTTCATACTCGAGCGTCCACCCTGAATGGCTGCAGACCAGCTCTGCAGGCAAGGGGCGTCTACCTTCGGGACAAATTGAGTTTGCCGATTGGTCATTTGCTGACACACCTACTGGACTGATTGACAGGTCGTTAAAAAAATTTAAAAATAAATAACGAGAGCTGGCAGCTCAGCGGCAGCAGTGTTTTGTGTAAATATGTTTACTGACTGAGCATTATTGGATTTGGTACCTGGATGATCGAGCATGAACTTTGTTGCCTTGAACCACTTTGGCTGTGGCTGCCTGCCTGAGAGGAGTCGACGGGGGACAGGACGGCCCCCAGAAACCATCTTATCTCCAGCAAACTGGTCAGTCCACTTAAGGAGTGTACTGCTTGGTGGGGAAACAGTTTACTTGGAACTCCTCTGACTGATGAAGCCCTCCGGATAGAGGGCAAAACATCTCTACAAAGAAGAAACTGTCCAGATGACCTGACTGAGAATTATTGGATTTGGTACCTGGATGAATGAGCATGAACTTTGTTGTGTAAATATATTGTTAATAAAAAGTTCTTAAAAAAACAAACAAACAAAAAAAAAAAACAGGGAGCACTGGCCCTGCAGCCCACACATCAGACCAGCCCACCAGAAAATCTCCAGACCCTCCAGCATCCATGATGGACCCGATTTTAATTCTCTCGTGACAAAATCCTTCATTTCTCACAATTTCAGTCATGGCATCAAGGGACGAGGAGGAAGAGATCGCTTGCCTCTTGGAAAAAAAACAAAAAGCCATTAAACTAAACCAGAACAGGGATGAAGAAGGGGAATTTAATAGATTGGTGTCACATACAAAACAGTCCATCGCTGGGCAGTTTAATGTGCGACAGAGTACGCGTATGCGGTCGTAAAAATTGATCTTTGCATGGACATGCCCTGCAGGCGTCGACAGTGTCCCCACTAACACAGAGGAGCCAGGCAGAAGGAGAAATCCCACACAAGATTAGCCTTGAAGCAATGTGGATATCTTAACTGGGCCTTCCTGAAAGCAGAGAAGAAATCCAAACAGGACTCCAGTCAGCCATCAGATGAAAAGAAGAAACCCAAACCCAGACCAGTGGTCATTCCATATGTTGTGGGAGTTTCAAAGAAACCGAGACGTTTATTTTCTAAACGCAACGTCCCAGTGGCTTTTAAACCCCAAAATACATTACGGCAAAGACTGGTTCATCCCAAAGATCCAGTCCTCCGGCACAAACAGAATAATATTGTGTATGTTGTTCAGTGTCAAAAGGGATGTGATCAGTTTTAAATCAGGGAAACTAAACAGCCACTGGCCAAAAGGATGGCCCAGCACAGAAGATCAACATCATCAGGCCAGGACCCTGAGGTCTACACTCATCTCCAGGCCAGCGGTCACTCAGGGATGAAGATGTTCACATCTTTGTGAAAAGAAACCGTCCATCATTAAACAGGGGTGGAGGCCTCTGTGTTCAACTGTCCCCCTCTTACAATGCTGTTATTGCCGTGTTTCCCCTACCATTATACAAGCGGGGTGCCCCACCCCGTCTACCGAACTGAACTGCCCCCCTGCACTGACATAGCTCTAAGCTAGCAGCTCACAATACAGGCACGCTAGCGAAAACGCTAAAGACAGAGCTCACGCCGTCAGTACAAATAGCACGCAACTCACATGTCTGTTATCTTAATGTTTTGTTCATTACAACAAGATTTATTCATTTTCAATTATAATTAAATAAATATGGTCAGAGGCATGTTCCTGAAATTCTCAGCCATGTCATCAATAAAGTTTATCCATCCATGTATCCATTTAATTCAAATAAGCATCTTTGAGAGGCAACATTTTCTTTAAACTGTTGCCTTCTTTTATCCACTAAAGGCGATCCCTGAGGGTAATGAATGGCAGCACTTCCATTGGAATGCGTTTTTAAACTTTCATATTAATTAACTCTTAAATACAATAAATGCTGCTGACAGATGTGCTGCTGATGATTAGCACATTCGTAGCTGAGACATCATGCTGTCATTGCACTTTTTACAAATGGTTCTTGTTTAGAGTTTATGGAGTCGTGACTGTTGCAGCACACGAAGTGTTAATTAAAACAGTTTGTTCATAGTTTAACTGTGCAATATAATTATTTTTCCACCCTAAACGGCACCAGCATTTAGGGTGGTAAAGGTTATTCAGATTAAAAAAAAACATTTGTTGTTGTGCATCACAACAGCAAACCCATGAGGCTAAACCCCCATGTGAGCAGCAACTTGTTGTCTGAGGAGACCTGCTAATTGAATCACTGTGCACCCAAGGGAAAAAATAATAATTAGTGTTCTTGGAAAGAGCTGTTACAAAATGCAGACAGTCTCAGCAGGTATTTTAAAGTAAACAGTTGCTCTGATTAAACCTAATAAGCTACCAGTACATGGAATGCTGTTTGGAACGAACAAAGAATTTTGGCAAACTTGAAAACGTTTGCAACACGGATAAGAGTACATCCAAATCATGGTTGGATTCAAAGCAGAGTGATAAACACAACTTACAAAAACTTACTTTTTTTTTTTTACTATTAGAAAATGATGCAATACGTAAATCTAAAAAAGGTACTCAATGCAAAATCATGGAGTACTCAGAAAAAGAAATGTAAGAAAATATTGCAATATTGTTTTCTTATAATGACGGTTAATGTGTTCCTACATAAAACAAAGTGTAAGCAAATTTTGAGAATGGCTGCACACGTGTTTGTTTACCTATCAAAACAGCTGATGCGACTAAAAATAGGTCCATCATCACAACAAAGACGAGCCATTTGGGGTGGATAAGTCCAACAATTTTGATGTACTTGAACAAATTTACACTCAGATTTGTAAAGTATGCAGATAATAGAGCTTTGTTTACATTTAATGTGGACCCACATTTCAGACTTTCATATTAATAAATCTGGAAAAAACTACAAGAGTAAACTCTTTTAAACTGTACCATTTATATAGTTCAGGATAACATTTGTTATGTTAGATTTTACAGCTTGAGTACCTTTATTTAACATTTCACAGGTAGAAAAATGTACGTTTCAAGAAGAACTGGCAATGTGTTTTTTTTTGTTTTTTTTTTACTAAATCAACTTGAGTTAAACGTTTATTCATCATTGATTCCTTGTGTAAAGTCTCATTGTTTGACAAGACCTCTTCTTAAATTCGGCTCACACACAATGCACTAATCCGGATTAAAATTCAGCACAATGTCAATTCAGATTTGTGGCAACCGCCCTCAACAAACTCACTTTTAAAACTGCTGAGAAGGCATGTAGTAAAAATCCAACTTATAAAGTAAACTAAAATCAAAGATCATTACGCCGATGGAAAGATAAATATTTAACAAATGGAAATTAGTGGTCAACTTTTATGAAAACTGTAATATATATATAAAAAAGTTTAAACTATTTTAATCGAGACGTTTTTTACATAGAGTTTGGCGCGAGACTCTTGGGAACTTCGTGTGCAAACTATGAGCATAGCTCGGTTAGTTGCTATCGTGACGAATTTAACTAAAAACACCGACGTTAATGGTGGTGAGAGCGGTAACAGCACCGTGTTCCGGGTCCACTGCAGAGGACATTTCCCCGGCTACAACACTCTCCTCCCCGGTCCATCCCCGGGCCTCACCTCTTCCTCGTCCTGCTGCCGGCCGTGATTCTTCTTGGGCGGCCACTCGTGGCAGCAGTGGAGGCTCTTCAAGAAGCCGTTTCTGTCCGTTCTCAGTCCGTTCTTCGCGTGCTGACCCACCAGCTCCCCGTTGGCCGACTTGGTCGCGGGGCTTTCGGTCATCACTGGGCAAAGGTTGTGGAGCCGCGACGGTAAACTTGCATGTAGGGAACACGGAGCCTGCCTCCGGTGCAAAGCTGTGACAGTATCCGAGCTGAGCACGTTTACACACACATCCACACACACACACAAACACGCTAGAAACTCTCACGCGCGCACACATACACGAACCTGAAAATACAAACATTTAACACCGGAAATCAACGCCCCATTAACCAACAGCAGCGGCCAATGACATATTTCTACGTCATCGGCAGAGCCTGTCAAAAGAGCCGCAGCGTGATAGGCTGAGGGGCGGGGCTTAAAACGCTTCCATATTGTCATCCAATGGTTTGTTAGCTTGAAAAAAAATAAGATTTAAATGTTTTATTTGGTCAAATATACAGGAATCATAAAGATGGAGAGGAAACAAAGACTTACACATAATATTTGTGTAGTTTATCAAAATCAATACCTTTTTAAGGTTTAAGGTGACTTGTCACATCACATGTGGTACATGAGGTGGAACGAAATTGTGTACTCAAGGTGCCAGTTACGCTAAAAAATAGCAATAATATACACTATGAAATGAAACAGTATACAAAGATCTAAGATATACACCAAACAAAAATTATATAAGGGATGCACAATATTATCGGCATGGTATCGACCGATCTTAGCGATAAAGTTAAATATCAGACATGGGCCAATCCATCCAAATAACTCACCAATAGTATAATATATTATTAAACAGCATTCTGAACAGGAGTCTGTTATGAATACAACAGCTATGAGTAATACATCAGCAACATCAATAATCAGCAGCACAGATAAAGCGTCATTAAGTGATTTTCCTGATTAGGGATTTATGAGTCTAACAGCTTCAGGGTAGAAGCTGTTCCTCCATCTAGTGGTTCTACACTTAATGCTCCTTAACCTCCTGCCTGAGGGGAGCGAGACAAAAATGTGTGTGCTGGGTGTGTGGTGTACTTCATGATGCAGGTGACCCTTTTCCTGCATCTGGAGGTGTAGATGTTGGTGGATCCAACAGTCTTCAGTGCAGCCTTTACCACTCTTTCAAAACTACTTTAACTTTCAAAAGAAACTTCTAAAAGATAGACAAATTGAACATCTGGATACTCATATGAGCAGCACCTTTTTAAACAGTAGAAACAAGCAAATTACAAAGTTTGGCACTTCAAATTCAATTATTGTCTATAAATGCAAATATAATACAATACAGTACTCACATACACAGTGTTGTGACATTTCCAAAGTTGAAGGTGTAGAAAGAACAAAAAATGAAGAAAACAGGTTATTTGCAGCCAAATACAACCATGAAGAGTAGAAATAAAAATAAATCAGTGTGTAGAAATGTGGTCAGCTTGTATTTCAGCAGTCTAAGACTATAGCAACATAACTAAGGGATAACTTAGGAAACCCGTGGCAATCTTAACTATATATATATATATATATATATATATATATATATATATATATATATATATATATATATATATAAAGTCTTTAAGTCATGTCTTAAAAGTAGACAGATTGTCAGCCTCAGAGAAAAACTACATTTCTGCCTGATAGCTGAACGCTCTGCCTATAGTTCTACTTTTAAAATCTCTAGGAACCACAAGTAAACCTGCAGCCTGGGTCTGAAGTGCTCTGTTGGGAAAATCTGGAGCAAAAGTTAATGCTGGTTGCATATCTGAATGTTTTACCCAATTTAAAACTTGTGTCTTTTATCACTTTGCTCTATTTGGAAAAACTGTGAGGCAAAATCTGCACAACCGCTGGTGCTGAATGGAGAGGATGTTTTTTTTTTTTTATGAAGGAATGCAGCTTTAATTAAAATATTTTTCATTAGACATTTGTTCAATTCCCTCAATCAAAGGAAATAGTTTAAACAAAGGAGTGCAATATATCTCACAAATATTGTAGTACTCCAGTACATTATATAGCTGTCAAATACTCTAACAAGCATGCAGTAATTAAAAAGGTAGCAAGAGAAACATTAGCAAAATTAAGCTTTTTGAAAAGTAAGGTTATACAGAGAAAGCACCACATTTACTGTGTTGTTATTAAAACTAACAAAAACCAATAAAGAAAAACGATTTTTTATTTTGTTTCACGTTTCACAGGTCATGAAAACACTTCTGATGGTGTTATTGTATACTCTTCTCATTGACATCGAAGGCCTTTCAGAAAGCAAGAAACCCCGCAAGAGCGTCTCCTTCTCAGGTGAGGCAGGTGGATTGATGGTATCAAGAATGATCTAGTGCAGAATCACCAAAAATACTACAGCTTATAATGTATTTATACCCAACCTGTCTACAAAAATCTATTTTAAAAAGCTGGTGTTTGGTCAAAGTAAACAGAGTAAAATAGAAACGACTATTGGGGCACAGTTACGTATTTTCAGAGGTTTTGTTGTTTTTTTTTTTTGGTTTAAAAACTATCGTCTGGACTATGATGAAAGCTTTCACAGAACAAAGTTCGCTTGCAGTTATTTTACTCTTCAACGGATCTCCAGCAGGCTCCGAATGAGCCGTTTTACTCCCCTAAACAAAATATTCTGTCATCAAAATGTTTTCAAGTCAGTTACTTGTAACACTTTTCCCCGGTTTTACTAAGAATAATTTAGTGCTTGTGTTTCTAACAACAAATTGATTTATTATTTAGTAGCCTATATGTCAACAGTGTCAGCACTGGACTGGTCTAGAGCCTACTTAGCCAAGCGTAGTTTATGTGTTTGTCTTGGTGACCACGTGTCCTCCTCTGCTCCTCTCGTGTGTGGGGTTCCGCAGGGCTCAGTCTTAGGCCCCCTCCTCTTTACGCTGTACCTGTGCTCCCTTTTGGTTATATTTAAAAAAAAAAAATATATATATATATATATATATATATATATATATATATATAACTAATTGACTAACTTTAATCCCTTCTTAAAACCCATCTCTTCTCCCTCACCTTTGACACCATCTGAAATGTTGACTTTTAATAATTTTAATCATTTTTTACTGTCTGACTGTATGATTGTTTCATTATGCGTACAGCACTTTGGTCTTGTGGGTGTTTAAAGTGCTATATAAATAAAGCTGGTATGGTATGGCATGGTATATTACAAAAACAAAAAAAGAACTGACACCAAACAAAAAGTACAGACTTCCCTACTCTATAGGGCAGTATTTCACAAACATTAGATACAGAACATTTTGCATTAGGGGGCTTACACGAGTGGAGAAACTAAATCAAAATGTGTGTTTCTGTAAACGATCCTGTTCATTTATTTCCCTCAGATGTGAACTTGAAACAGTTCAAAGAGTTTGACTTTGACAGTTTGAGCTCTCTGATGGTCAGAGATGACATCGGTCAGCTAATACTCGGAGCCAGGGGGAAAGTTATCGCGCTCAGTTTGGATGACATCACGAAGGAGACGAGTGAGGTGAGGCCACTGTTTGGGTGGACTAATGTAACATATTTGGTTTTGAACACATTAAACGCAAAATGCGTTCCTGCAATCATTGCAAACGCAAGGCAGTGCGAGTCCTCATCTTTTATTTGGTCTGTCAGGAGACGTGGGCTGTCAGTTCTGCAGAAAAGGCTCTCTGTCAGATGAAGGGCAAGAGTAGTGAAGTAAGTACAAGTGCATTAACGCCGACAGTCGGTGAGGTTTTTTACATTCAAACATATTTCATTTACATTTATTTCAATGTTGTTTTTTTATTCTTCCAGGAATGTGAAAACTTCATCAGGATTCTGCACTCGACAGAGGACGGCAACATGTTTGTGTGTGGGACGAACGCTTTTAACCCCGCCTGCACCTACATGGTCAGTCATCCACAGTAATACAAATGGATTTGTATTTTTGAAATATCATGTAAAGATATTTGCAAGGTTGTGATACCAAAACTGGCCAATTTTGGGAAAATAAGGAAATAATGTAATATTTAGTGAATTAAATTGAAACTACAGAATGTTTAGTATAAATTAGTATTGTTTCTAAACTGTTTCACTTCCTTAAACAGAATTTCACAGATGGAAAACTATTTTTTGAAAAAACACCACAAGACGGCAGAGGAAAAGTTCCCTTTGACCCCTACCAAGAATTTGCCTCATTTATGGATGGTGGGTAAAACAAACAATAATTTGTCATTTCTACAAGTTCCCATGACATATAACTCAACATTTTAATCTATTATAAGTGGTTTGGACTGTTTAGTTGGATTCCTCTACGGTAAATTGAAAACTTGGAAACATTTAATTTATGGCTAATTAGATTATTTTTTATCAATATGAACTAAATTACCATCCAATAGAATGTTTTATTGTGTTTTCACAAGAACAAACACAAAAAGACGCCATAGCTGTTTCAGAGATTTCCCCAGTTTATTCTTGTCTTTTGTTCCACTCATCATTCATGAAAACTTAAAAAAAAATACACTGATAAATGCTTCTGGAAAATGAATATACATGTTAAAAAAAACTACAAGCTTCTTATTTCTTCTTACTTCTTATTTATTTTTTTATTTTTTTATTTTATCTCTTTTACCTTCTTTTATTCTCGCTGTGTTTTTTAATTTGCACTGATGTATTGTGTCCTGTTTTAAATCTTGTTTTGTCTTGTGAAGCACCTTGGTCAATGCAAGGCGTTGTTGGAAGGTGCTATAGAAATAAATAAATAAAGTATTTGTTTATTTGTATTTTTATAAATGTAAAACTACTTTATTCCTCAGTTAAATCTCCATTTGAGAGAAACGTTTCAGAAAATGAAAAACTGTTTTATCTGAACTCAACAGGAAACACATTATTCTCTGCCACATCTTCAAACTTCCTGGGAACAGAAATGGTGTTCCAGAGACATGGGCCGAACCCCATCAAGACCGAAACCAAACTTTCCTGGCTCAAAGGTAAGATGGCGAAATCCTCCAACAACAAATGTTAATTCAAATAAATACTTCTTTTCTGAAAAGATATTGTCAACTGTAACGCAACATTTGAAATGTTTCGCACTCAGAACCCACCATGATTTCAATTGTCATTACTGAAGTGAGCAAATACTCAGAAAACAACGAGGACGACAACGTGTTCTTGTTCTTCACTGAGAATGCCGTTGAGGAACTTCGAAGCAACGTTCGCGTTTCAAGAATTGCTCGTGTGTGCAAGGTCTGAAACATAAAATCATCACGTTACTTTTAAGTTTTCAGTGAACAATCCCTCTTAAAGTCTAATGTGTGTTGACTTAGAGCGACTTGGGAGGACTGAGAACATTGCAGCAAAAGTGGACTTCTTTTTTGAAAGCCCGGTTGGACTGTCCATTTGGAGATGCTGGTTCACCAGCTCTGGTCCAGGATGTTTATTTCCTCAAAGATAAAACCAACTGGACTGACAGCGTCTTCTACGCCACATTCACCTCCAACCCGTAAGTCATTGAAGAACTGTTCAGACCTGCCGGTAAAAAAACAAACAAACAAACAAAACACTTTCTTAGCTATTTGTTTGATAGTGGTTAAAAAAAAGGGGGTCTACAAAAAAACTGTCTAAAGCACCATCAACAAACTGACCTCCCACAAGCAGCAGAAAGAACATCATGGAATTAAAAAAGGTATACTCAGCTACCATCTAATAGAAGGTATTTAAACAGTCATCCTTGAGAATACGTTTATTAAAATTAAAATCCAGGTAATCAACATCCAACTGCTAAAGGTTTCTGGGTACAACATTTACCAAATGAGAACAAACATGTCAGAGCTGACTAGAGATGGATACATGGCTCTTTGAAGGGACAGATCTTGATGATCTATTTGCTTCATAGTCGTTCAATTTTGAAAAACAATGACGTAATCACATTCGTCATCTGGGTCGTGTCAAATGTTTTGTCAAGCGAACGCCCCCCCGCCATGAGCTGCTGCACTCTGCCCCTTTGCCTGTTCTTTGTCTCAGTGAAAAAGTGAAAGAGGAATATTTGTCTCTGCATTTGAGGAGGAAAACATGAAGAAAATCCACGTAGGGGAAAAAAAAAATCTATTGATGGCTCTATTGTCTGCAACTTGATTCTTATCGTTCGTTGCACAGAGCCGGTCAAACAATCCGGATCTTTTGCAAACATCCCATCTCTAGAAATGACCACTTGCAGTCAAATCACCCAGAACAGATTATTAATATAAAGAATCATAATATTAATGTTTTGTCGGTCAGGATTTTATTCTGTGTGCATATATTTCAGGGTTTGCAAATTTGCAATATCCACAGTGAGGACATTGCTAACTTTCAATTCTATGTCTGTCGAAGGCGGGACATATTATGTCTCTGTCTATCTGTTTGTAAACTTTATTTTGTCCCGCCCATAACATCAAGTTAAGGCAATAGTTGCATTTCCAGAACATAGATTGCTCTATTGATGCATATTAGTTTGTTAATGTGCCTAACTTTGCCTAATAATCTATACTAATTCTTTAACTTGGAATTTTAGATTAAACATTTCCTAAAAATTGTTTTGTTCTAAATTTATGTAAAAAAAAAAAGTGTAATCTCTCACTTACACCATCACCAAACTTTGGATTAAAGAAAATAAAAAATGAGAGCACATATTTTGCAGGGAGCCCTCCAGTGCTTGCATCCAGTCTGCTGTCTGTGCATACAGACTGTCAGACATCAGACAAGTGTTCAGAGGCACATTTCTGACCGAGAGCGACACTGGGAGCTGGGACACGTACACAGGAGTGGAGCCTTATCCATACCCTGGTTCGGTACGCATCACACCAAAGATAATTAAGTTTTAATATTCAAAACGGACAACTAAGCTGTTTTTGATTGTGATCTTAGTGCATTGATGATGAAATGCGGGCCAGTGGTGTGATGACATCTCTGAACCTGTCAGATACAACCTTGCTGTTTGTAAAGAGCCATCCTCTGATGGAAGGGGTGGTCACACCCATCACTGGCAAACCCTTGCTGGTCCAGGCTTCAACACAGTTTACCAAAGTTGTTGTGGATCAAGTAACATCTCTAGATGGACAACAACACCATGTCATCTTTATTGGCACAAGTATATAACTGCATGCCTCTACTTGACTATTTGAGCAAGACGAGCCAAATGCATGGCTGTTGGACTCACTCGTCTCTTCTTTAGACTCTGGTTGGCTGCAGAAGGCGGTGAGGTTTGGTGGTGAAGAAGGACGGATCATCGAGGAGCTCCAGCTGTTTCAGGACGCTCAGTTTATTGACTTTCTTCAGCTCTTTTCCAGAACAGTAAGATTTGCATGTTGTCCAAATATTTAAATAGTCATACATATTTAAAAAAAAAAAAAAACGTGTCAACCATTTAGGGGCAGCTGTACAGTGGTGCCAGAAACACTGTCGTACAAGTCAATGTGAGGGGTTGTGGCCGCTACACGTCGTGTGAAGACTGCCTTCTCGCCAGAGACCCGTACTGTGGTTGGGACGTCAACAGAAGGCGATGCGATACTGTTGTTGGAGCATCAAAATTATTCATGTAAGAACAAACTAAAACAGGTTTTGGATGTGTAATGCTTCAAAACAAACAAAAAATGTAGTGTTTTGTTTGTGCAGGATTCAAGATCTCATGGAAGGAAACACCAATGCATGTCCAAACGCAGAGTGTAAGTAGAATATAGAGTTTCAGTTTCTGCTGAAGTCAAGTCATTCATATTGTGCCATCTTGCAAAACAAGAGAAAACTACTCTAATATATTGTGCATTGTCTAATAGGAGAATACATAAAACCAGAGAAATTCCACACCAAGTAAATGCTGAATAATTTATCTGAAATTTGCTGAAGAACGAATGAAGCATACGAAGACAAACAGACAAGTATGTCAAATTAACCTGATGCATGCTCAGTAATCCAAGTAGAAACATCTAACAAAGTTAAGTCGGGTCTTCTGGACGGTTTAAAAAAAGTTGAAATGTTTCATCTTTTAGCCAAAAGACTTGGTCAGTCTGAGGAGCTGCAATAAACTCAGTCTATAAATAGCACATGGCATAGTGGATCAACCAGTTTGCTGGTGACAGCCAAAACTAGCTGTTCACATGATAAAGGAGGACCATCAGCCTAACGACTGGATGTTAGTGCCTTGATGGATGCTTGCTATTCACAGAGGACTGAGTGATACCAGCAATAACAGCATTGTGAGAGGGGGACTTTGGACATGGAGGCCTCCACCCCTGTTTAATGATGGACGGTTTCTCTTCACAAAGATGGCCACCTTCACTCCTCTCTCAAACCATTGTTCCTCTCTATCAAGGATGTGATCATCTTCATCCTTGAAGGAGTGACCACTGGTCTGGAGATGAGTGTAAACCGCAGAGTCCTGGCCTGATGATGTTTCTGTTCTGTGACAATTCTTTTGCCCAGTGGTTGTTTAGTTTCCCCCATCACTGAATGACTGTCACTGTAGCCGGATTCAGTCACTGTATCAATGAATCCATCCGGAGGACCTGACTTAACTTTGTCAGATATGCCAAATTAAGTTTCAGAGAATCATGTTTTTGGAGAAACTCAAGAGATTTCAATGTTTGTTTGAACGTTTGTCATGGAAAAAAAAAGGAGATTTCCAAATCAGACCCAAAGTGTAGTTCATCAGATTTATTTACAAAGCTTTGGAAAACAGCCAGCGTTCACAGAAGATCAATGCATTTACATGGTCACACTTGTCAATGTCTTCTCCTTTCTGAACCGCTGACTGTTCCGACTTCCTGAACTGAAAAAGTTAGTTTTGTAGAACCACTCAGCGCAGCCCTCAGTTCCTCCTTCCCTGTTTGGCTGTCATCAGTACTCAGCTGCAGTCAGAAGGAGGGAATCTGAGTCAAGTACTCCCTAAGACACGTCACTGTGTCACACCCATAGTATCATCAAGGTATCATATCAGTGAAACCTTGATGATATCAAAAAGCTCGTTCTGCTCCTCAGTGACCGGTCACAGTGATTTTTACGTGGGGAAGTTTATCATTTATTCACCTCACTGTACAGTAAAAGTATGAGAAAAGAAGGAAGAGAAAAGTATGGAGCACGATTAGTGCAAAAAATACAATAAAATGAAAATTATATAAAAAAAACAAAAAAAAAAACAATACAGTATATAAAAAAAGGTATATGTTTACAAATAAAAATCACAACACACCATTTTTGATTGAGCTGATTGTTAAAATCAATAGCTAAAATGGCACAAAGTATGCAAAAGAAGTTTGATTAAAGATAATACATAAGAAATTACAAGTATAAGAGTGTGAATTTGGAATCAGCTACCATGACTAACTCACTGTGTGAAGAAGACTCAGGGTTTATTTAATTAATATTTTATTTTTATTTTTATTTTTTTTACACAAACCAACTAGATTATATCGGATAAAAATGACTTAAACTCACTTATTGCTGTTGGTTTCACCCCAATAACTTATCCAAGTATCTGGAACAGAGAACTGAAATTGATCATGTTAGATGTAGAGAGAACTCACAGGGTCACTGTCTACAGCCATACAAATACTGTATATTAGTATGTACTCTTTCTGGTGTTGTATGAATACATTTATTAGTTGAGATGTGCAGCGTTATAAGATCATGTTGTGTCCGTCTCCTTCTGCAGGGGAGAATAATGTCACCACAGTTCACCTTGCTCCTCGTATTGCACAGTTCCTCCCATGCACTCCTGACACCAACCTTCCTGTCAGCTGGCGCCTCTCTGGTATCATCCTCCATCCTGGTCCCCGACACCGTCTGCTCAGCCAGGGTCTCATCATCTGTCCCTCCTCTTCGGATGCCGGCCTTTACACCTGCGAGACAGTAGAAACCGTGAAAGGCAGAGAACACAGGACGGCTGTGGTCCAGTATCTCGTCAAGGTTCAAAATCTTTCCGCTCATGTCTTGAGCCTGCAGATAGCCGTCATCCTCCTGGCTTGTTTTGCTGCTTTTCTGATTTGCCTCGCAGGCAAATACCTCAGGGCAGCAAAACTGAAACGTGTTGGAAACCAAATCTGCAACAGCTGTCAACAGAGAACTTTTCATCAACGTGATCAGGTGAATCAGAGATGCAGCGAGCAAAGTCTGCATCACCATGTGAGGGATGCTGCCTCTGAGGGAGCTGGAGCAACACAGGTGGAGGAGAGTCGGGCCTGACAGTGACATAGCACTCTTTGTTTTGTTGGTTTGTATAGAAATATGGTTATCTATACTGAAGTTAAATGCTGACAAGGACATTAGTTCTTGAACATGTGCAATAAAAAAGTGGAATCAGAGCTTCATTGCAATTTTTTTTTATTTGCCAGGTATGAAACATTCAAACTCCTTCACAGAAAGCCAGAGAGGTGACAGAGTTAACCTCAGCAGCTCTGTGCCACTCAGCCATCAGTGCATTCAGATGAAATGAGCGTGCACGCACAGAGGCTAATCAATGGCGGCGTAATTAGTTTAATTGATTGCACCTGTGTTTTACCAGCTGTGACAACAGGTCATCAATCAGGAGGCCCTCTCAAAATGGATGGGTGGCTTTTTTTTTGTTTCAGCGATCATAATTAGTCATTAGGGGCATTAATATAAAAAAAGTTTACAAGGCATAAAAATTGGAGTAATTAATTATTGCCTGCCACTGAAGGCACAGTGCTGTTTGTGCCCGTGTGTGTGAGTGTGCTTGCATGTCTGCAGCATTAACGAACAGATGGACATTTAATTAAACTTTTTTTTTTAAAGCAGTCGTTGTATGTACGCCTAAAATGATTCAAGATGGCTGCCTCAGCCAACGGACCTTAGCCGACACACTAAAATGGTCACAACTTGGTCAGTTTTACAAATATCGAGCTTAGATCTGGTGGTAGTTGCTGAGACTTATTCCCAACAAATACTCCATGGACGAACTGGTCACACAAGATCTAATTTTTAAATTTAGCCATTAATAGTAAACTGTTGGCAAAATATCTCATGAACCACTGGATGTATTTTTATGAAACTTTCAGGAAAAAAAAAGTTTATCTTCAACTGAATAACCTTTGAAGTCAAACTGACTCAAGCTGAACAACATTAATAGACACTTTTACCTAACTGGAACGTTTTGTAAGATCTAATTCAGGGGTGTGCAACCTTTACGATCAAAAGAGCCATTTCTGCCCATTCGTTCACTAAATTAAATGTGTCCAGAGTCACAAAATCTGCTACAGTTGTCATTATCAACTGGTGGCCCATGGGCCAGTTTAAGATTATTAGTAGGGGTTTTTCTGGCCAGTAGGCATGAAATTATAAGAATAAAAACATCCAATGATTGTTAACATTTATTGATTTTTTATATTTTGAGACAAAAGAAAAGACTGAATACCATCCATCCATCATTACCCACATCTTCCTTTTCGAGTCACGGGGGTCATTTGTGCCCATGTCCAGCAGGTCACTGTGCAAGAGGCAGGGGACACCCTGGACAGGTTGCAACTATATATATATATATATATATATATATATATATATATATATTTTTTTTTTGTTGTTGTTGCTATTTTTAAAACTAAAACAATGAACTGTGCAGGCATGTGATTTTGTATTTTTTTATTGGGGAGAAATTGAGTATCCTCCTTTGAAGAAATAAAGCATAACGTTAAAGTGAGTATAATTTACTCTGTCTATTAGTACTAGTATCCACATATTTGCAAAGGAAATGACAGGAAAACTGCTAAAACTAGTAATTTTTGTTGTGGGTATAACATCCTATAAAATAAAATTTTATGTTAGTTTTGGTCAAAGCTTGAAGCTGCTGTGGACGAACTAAGAGCCATGTGACTCCAGAGCTGCAGGTTGCAGACCTATCATCTAAATATTGCACGAGTCATGTACAAAATTTACAATGTTTGACCAAATGGCTACTTCATCCCTTCTCAGCACAAGATGAGTTTAGTTTTATTAACATTCAAATGAACTAAACTCATTTTTATAGAGTCTCAACAAAACTCAGGGCTCATAAAATGTCAGTAAGTTATCGATCTAAGGAAGACAGAAGATTGTCACAAATCACCCACAGCCGAGTTTGTCTTCACTGATAACAGACAAAACTAAAACAGTGCGTGAAACAGCTGCACACAAACAAATGTGAAAAGAATGTCAAATGTCATCTTTCCCCTGTCAGTGTCAGATTTATTCAGCTGTTTGAAATTCTTGATACTCACTAGATGGCAGCATGGGATGGAAATGTAGAAGCAGCGTGTTTTATCTGTAGTCACTGGGAAAATATCAGAGGAAAAAGGAAAAACCTTTTTTTTTAATGAGGCCTTGAACCAGGCTTTATGATAAAGTTGTAATTAGATCTGTGGGGACTGACTCGGCTCTCTTTCTGTCTGCTGGTTCTCCCTTTCTGCTCTCTTTACTTCTCTTTTGCATCTCGGCTTTTCATCGCATGCCTTCCTTAGAAATGTATTTCCTCTCTTCCTTCTGTAATCTGATTTTTATTTTATTTTTTGTCTCAGATGCAGATCTGTGGATTTAAAACCTCCTTTTGGTAGCAATAAAAAAATAAAAAAAAACACCTTAAAATACTAAAATAAATGCAAAAATTTGAATCTGAAACAGCAACATGTGGCTCAGACTGAGCTGAGATATGCACATTCAGGGATACATTTATATTTACATTTTGTTTTATTTAGCTTTTCTCTCATGAGTCTGCCAGTTAAGTGAAATAAATATAAGTAAAGTTTGTAAAATTTGGGTGAAAGTGTGTGCAGACACCTCAAATTAATGTAATTCCTCTAAAATTAATAGCCTGTAAACCAAAGATCAATAATGCATCCGTACTCAAGCTGTGAGTTACACAGCTTGATATCATATCTGACACTTAAGCATAAAAAAAATATTTAAATTGATTGAGATTATTGAAAAATGAAATACATTAGTATGATACAAGCTGCCACAAGATGGAGGTAAAGGATAACAAACACATTTTGTTTAAACTTTTTTTTTTTTTTTTTTTTCTCCCCTAACCATGAGAATTGTGTTTGAAGCATCACATGAAGTCCAAATTAAAGAAGTTCTATGCTGATGTCAGCGAACATCATCAGCCTCCTGTCAGATTTTCTTAGCAGTTTTATTTCTTCCAGTGATGAAAGGTCTCTGAAAACTGAAGAAATTTATTCCATTTTAATGGTTTATTGTAAATTAATGTATTAAAAAACAAAAAAAAACAACTGCTTTTCTCAACTCTAATTTAGTTGCATAGAAATAAATCTCCTCTGTTTTGACCTTTTATTAATCTAAACAGCTTACTGGTTATTCCTTAACAATTCAGTTTTGTGGTTTTAAATGGGACACTTTCCTTTTTTTTTATTTATGTTTAGGCTTTAAGCTGCTCTCACAGGATGGACAGGATGTTTTCTTCTTTTACACTGGCTCATAAACTAATCTGTGACTTTCTCACTGGACATCTAGAAAAAGAATCATTGTCTCTTAAGTTTTGTATTTTACTTTGTTTTATGTGGCACCTTGACTGTTTTTGTAACTACTTTTGTTTGATTTTAATTGTTTTTTTGTTGAATTAATGTTGTCTGTACTTTATATGTTGTCTGTCTAAATCAGGTCTCTGATGAAAACGAGTCCTCGTTAAACAATTAGACTAACCTGTGTAAATTACAGGTTGAACGAATCACATTTCAGTTTGCCAAAAACATAATCTGCACACACACAGCTCATGTAGAGTAAATTAGAGGGATTAATAGTGTGTGTGTGTTCATTTTTATGAATACCACAAAGTTCAGTTAGGTCATCAGAACATATATATATATTTTTTAGACATTTCGTCCTTCATCCAAAGGACTTCATCAGTCATTTTGCTTGGATTATTGAGCATGAACTTTGAGGTTTTAAAACACTTTTGCTATGGCTGCCTCAGAGGACTCGACGGGGGAGAGGGCAAGCCCCAGAAACCATCTTATTACCATCAAACTGGTTGGCCCACTATGCAAGTGTGCTGCTTGTAGAACTGAGTTTGTTTGTGGCTCCTTGGACTGGTGAAGTCCTTTGGATGAAGAACAAAACATCTCAACAACACCTCTTTCTTGGATTTTTTTAACCTGGATTATTGAGCATAATGTTGAGGAGAAGAGAGAAGAAGACTGAGCAGGATGCAAAACCATTACTTATATTATAGTTATTTTTTATTTTCATAAATGCTAATTGACTGCTGCTTTTTACCCCAGAGTTTTAAACTAAGATCTTATGATGGGAAGGGGTGGAGTTAAAGATGTTATGGTTTAACTTTTAACATCTTGTTTAAAAGAGGCTTTAAATATGACCACAGAAAACCACATACATTTAAATAAAAACTCAAAGCCCAGCTCTCGCTCTTATTGATTTATTCAGTAGAAGAAAATAGGATATTTTGTGCAGTCTTACTCGTGCTCTTGTGAGATACGCATTAGCGTTCAAAGTATACGTTCAGGATGTTTCTCAGTTAGTACCACACCAAGTTATAGCTTAATATCTGTGAAATTGATTGACTTGGTCATTTGTATGTTCTCTATAATCAGTTGGCTGTGACAACCATCTTGAATTGGACTGACTCCAAAAGTTAACCAACGGCAGATGCTCATCCAATAATTACTTTCTGAGTTTCATTATAACCTGACCGGTAGTTCATGAGACATTTTGCTAACTCTAAATACAGTCAAAGTAACACACACATTATCACCAACCACTGTAGGTGAAAGTTTTATAAAAAGTTGCTCCACAGAACGCCACAGGAAGTCCTTCCTCCCTGTGGCCATCAAATTTTCAACTCCTTCCCTTTTCTATACATAGGACAATAAAACTAATCCTGCACTACAATACATATTTTATTGTTTCTGTTTGTACCCGACCTATTTTAGAACTTAATTGTTGGTATTTTTATATTATCTGTTATTTTTTATATCTTGTGTGATTTCTTGTGTATGTTCCTTTATACTGAAACTCAGGCACAACAATTTCCTGCTGGACAAATAAAGTTCTATCTAATCATATTGTATTGCATCTTATCATATCACATCTTATCGTATCACATCTTTTCATATTGTATCGCA